AGCTTTCGTTGTAAGCCGAGACAATGAAGTCCTGTAGTATATTTACAGCTCTTTCAGTACTCTGTCTAAGACCCCAATCTAAACTGTAGGGTTTCAGGTCACGAGAAAGATTTGCCCTGTAGTTGTCCCAGTTTATTCTTTTTGGGTTCCTATAGTACTCCGTCTCAACTTTGTTAATTTCCAAAGTGAATTGTAAGTGCCTATGATCAGAAAGAGAAGGCTCGGAGGACACCTTCACCCTATTATCTTTTGAAGTAACCCTTTTGAATAATCTGTCAGATCACTGACTTCTTGCCTGTTCCTGATTACAAAGGTAGGTTCGCTACCTCTGTTCTGTATACTGAGGTCTGTAGTCAGCAATAGATCCATTATAACCTTTCCTCTTTGGTAGATGTTACTGCTCACCCAAATAGTGTGGTGTACATTAGCATCCATACCTAGGATTAGTTCTAATTTTTCATTTTTGCAATAATTAAAGAGCATAGTTAGGTCCCTACCTGGGTCTGTGACCTCATATGGTAAGTATCCTGAAGCTACTATAATATTTTTACCATCATTTAGTGTTACTCTAATAATAGTCATATTAAGTGAAGAATAAGTGCTGTTTGAAAAGTTGTTGTATGCCTCTCAGTTAGGGTCCTTAATAGTTATTTCTTTATTTCGTTTATTTCGTTTATTTCTTACCTGTGCCTTACCTCCTTTCCCGAGTGGCACTGGTTGGGTTGGGTTTCCCAGATTTTTGAGGAGCTGATTTTTTCACAACCTGGGCTGATGGCTGCTTGGCAACATAGTCTGTGAAGCAAACACTGCCTATTCCAAAATATGGACTGCGCTTCAGTTCTTCCAGTTTGACTATACTCTTCTCGTCCACGCTTAGGAACAATGTTTGTCCTTTCGGGCCAACCTCTGTTTCATGGTGGACTTTTCAGATCGCTGTGTTCAGCCTGGGTTCTGTTTTGTAGTCGTGTTGCTACCCTCACTGAATTAACTAGGGTCCGCGGGGTTGATAGGACCATGATCCTTGCGGATTCCCCTGCGGGTTTTATAACCATTTACTTGTCAATTAGATAGAGATGTATTTAAAATAATTTATTTTATAACACCTTTGAATTCTGACATGCTCAAGTAATCACTATTGTTTAAAACGTTTAGTAGCTTTATGTCCTCTGATTCTGCAGCTACAGAATAGTCATTGGTAGCATTTCCAGTGATGAGCTCTAATGAATGATCTAATAGATTAATGATAGTAATAAAAAGACAAATAATATACACGGTTAACTTCTATATAAACTAAGCATTTATGTATTACAGAAATTGTTATTTTAGATACTTGGAATTTTTGCACATGAAATATTGAACTGTATTAGTTATTTAGATAAAGGGTTTTTGTATATTCTTATTTTAATTTTTTATGAAAACATTCACATTGCTACACTCTCTAAATAACTTTGAATTTAGAGCAACCTTTTTATGTCATTAACAGAAAATAAGTACTTTATAATAAAAACAAAAAATTATGTTTCAGTGATAAATTTATCATTTATGAAAATTACATATACATGTTATTAAATAACATAATGGATAACTTAATTATAATAATTACCTACTTGTAAACATTTTTGCTTTTTGTTTTTAGATTCTATATTACCATTTAATGTTTTTTTAGAGGGGCATGGAAATGGTCATGTTTGTTATTGGGTAATAAAACATTTCGAGGAATATCTTTTTTATTTTTTTCGATTTCTAACATTTGCAATAGTAGCTGAACTACTATCAACACTCTCTGCATAATCAGTATTATTAATTGAGTCACTTTCATTTTCACAATCATCATCTAATGTGCCTGATCATTCTTTAGTATATTTTTGTCTTTATTAAAATGTACAAATTTATGTAAATTAAACTTAATTATAAATAAGGATTTAAATTAACTTATTAACACCCTTATTAATAGTTTGTTTGTATTTTTAAATTAACAGTTATAACAAAAAAACTTGCAAAATGTCTGTTTTTTGAGATTTTAAGATTTAAGTTTATGGTTTAACTGATGGTAATTTATATTCTTAACTGTATAATAACACATTTGAAAATTATAAAAATAATTAATGAAATATTGTACAATTTAATTACAAGGGGGTATTTTTCATATGTAATTGATCTAATTTGACTAATATTTCTAAATGTGTAAAAGAATTCCCAAACGGCCAGCAATTTTTTCTGGAATGAACCAGGTCCCATCTCTTTTGTTTAGACTGTATTTTTTGTTATCATTTTAGTAATTTTATCATTACTTAAATGAACTTTGGAGGTCGGAAACTCTTTTTTTGCTGTAAGGATACCAACATCTTCCAGTCTGTGATCCTTTTTTGGCAATGTATCCATTTAATTGAAAAATTTGGATGTAATTCTTTTCATTGAAAGTACAACAATCTAAGTCCTAAAAAAAGTACATAAGAATTTACTAACTTCATAGTTTTAAAAATATTTTACTATATGTTTATAACTTGTTAAGTTATAATGAAATAACTCTAAGTTTACTTTGTAAATAGCCACTATAATGAAGTCCTATCTTGATAATTGTCATTCAGAACGCAAAATGATATTACTATAATTGGTTCATTGGTTAGGTCTATTATTGAGGTGGACATAATGCCCATGCACTCAGACCTGTTGGTCCATTGTGCGCTTGGTTAGGTCTAAAGGTAAACACTAATTTNGCTTGGTTAGATCTAAAGGTAAACACTAATTTTTGTTGAATTATGCCAATAGAAAAACTGTGTAAACGGCCTTTTTTTAAATTTAATAAATTTCTAATCAACTTGAGTTACATGGATGAATAAAATCGTTTTCAATTTTTTCGAAATATCTACCAATTATTATTGTGTTATTGTTTATTGAACAAGTGGCTATATTATCAATAACCGTAATTAAATTATTTTTTAATTTAACACAAAATTTTTTCTTGTTGAGTTTTATTATAAATTTAGGGGTTCTCCACTTACTGTATTGTGGATCTTCTACACCAGACACCAATAATCGATTTTCATTATCATATTTTACCCTGATTGGACCATATGCTCCTTTTTTTGAATTTTTAAAACTTATGGAGTAAGCTCAATATTCCTCATAACGCCGAATAATTTTCTGCAATAGTTTAACTTCTGATATTACTTCTTTTTTATAGTTTGCATAAAATTTTCGAATGGAAAAGCTAATATTTTTTCTAAGGAACCATATTTTTTAGTATCACTTGCAATGTGAATCAATGCATGGAAGTTGTGCGAAACATGACACAATTCATACAAATCAACAAATATAGTAATAATGTTTCTCAATTAACTTTTAGCATAATCATAATATTGTTTTTCTATACTTTCTGTTAACAATATTCATAGACCTACTGGTAATCCCAAAAAATGAGTGTAAATATCACTTTGAATTTTATTTCAGAACAACATTAAACCAGTATATATTTATTATAATAAGTAAATAAACCAGTATACATTGTTGTAGATCTATAGCTTTCAACGATTAACATTTTTTAATGGATGATTTCTTATATATACTGTGACAGAAATATTAAATTTTAGTCCAATACTTTTTTTTTTTGTTTTCCTTCTTCATTTGAATTAATGTGGACCGCTCTGGAACTCTGCCATGAGACATTACTTCAGCGTGGCCCACGTCGCCTCTTGATTCTTCTTACCACCGCGTTGTATTGGCTCTTCGGCGCTAAATCCTCATTTTGCTCCTCCTGCCACTCCTCAACGATCAAGAGAAAGATAGTGCAGGTCATCAATGACTGGTGTACCCATACGTCCATTTCCTGAAGTGCCTCCTTCAATCTGGTGGTCAAGAGTCTGGTTAAATATGAATATTAGATCTGAATAAATACACTATTTTGAATCAAGTCACTTTTTTAAAAATAAATAAAAATTGGATATCTTATCATTGATTATCTAATATTACAACATTTAGTTGAAAAGTAAATTTTTATTCAAAATGTTATTTTAATTCAAATGTATTAAAAGTTAAAATAATAGTTTCCGTGTGTCAAAAAAAAAAAATGACTGTAGTCAAATAAGACATTTTCTAATTGAAATTTTTTTTTAAATTTAACAATAGTTCTTGAGAAAATGAGTGCCTATAATTAAAATTAAAACTTTTTTTCAGTCTTTAATTATTTTCTATAAAGAGAAAAATTGTTTTGTTCAAAATAATACTCTATTTAAGAATGTAGTTAAATTTGTTTATATAGTAGAAAAATATTACAATTTTGTTCTTATAATTTTTTTTATTCAAACACTATTTATCTGTTACAATAAGTTTAAGTTAAGTGATTTTAAATCAAAATTTTATTATTTCACTGTTCAATGTTCAATAATCATTAAACTTTAACATGATGTAAAAGATAAACAGATATACAGGTGATTCAAAAAATAAAAATAATTTTTTTATTGATTTCTTTTATTTGATTCTAAATTCTTGGTTCTATGTTTTTCTAAATTTTTAATTTTCATCTCATATCGTATAAAGCTATCAACTTAAATTTTTCAAATGGAACATGTGTAATTAACAAGCGCTTATTTAATAGATCAAAATCTAATTAAGAAAATGACTGACCAATAACAATTTTGGACCAGTATTTTGGAAGTTATTGACATGTTTATATCTAGGAAGGAGGAAGAATACAACAAAAAATATCTAATAATAATAATAGCAGCAACCACTCTTCACTTCCAGTCATTACTTTAAACTTTTAATAACTTACAAAATACTGGTCTAAAAGTTGTTATCGATCAGATCAGTCACTTTCTTAATTAAATCATTATGCATTAAATAAGCAATTTTATTACACATGTTTCCATTTAAAAAAATCAAGTTGACAGCTTTATAAAATATAAGAGATATAAATTAAAAATATTTTATAATAGAAAAATACCAAACTAAATAAAAGAAATCAATAAAAAAAATTATTGTTATTTTTCAAATAATTAAGTGGTCATGATAAACGAATCACTCTGTATAACAAGTTTATTGAATTGTTACAAAAATAAATATAAAAGTATTACCTTTGTGAGGACATTGATTTATTGTATGGTCCTTCATATGGCACAAATAACGCCCTAAAACAAATTTTTAATTTAAGTAAACATAATATAAATTTAGTTGTTTAAAATACATTTTAAAAATGTTGGAAATAGACAAAATGTCTAATATTAAGTAATCTAAATATTATATTCAACTAAAAAAAAGAAAAAAAAATGGAATAAATAAACATTTTATGGTAAAATTGAAGATGTAATAATATTCTTTTTATAATCATAATCTTTCCCTTTAGATGTATAAAGAAAAATTATCCACTCCAAATAAGAATGAAGTATGACATACACATTTTAATTTTTCTATTCATTTATTTTATTTCAATGTTCTAATGAAAGACTAAGGACAATAATATTTCACTTTTCTCTGTTTAATTATTCTAGAAGTTACCATAAATTTATTACATTTATTGAAGCTCCTGGATTAACATATACAGTTAAAAATGTTGCAATTCACAGTCCCAATTTTAGGAAGCTTAATACACGGAAAGCATAAAATGATAGACAAGCCATAACTGAGCTATATTTTAAATGTAATCCTAAAAAAAAGTGTATAACAATATATTTTTTGTGTAGTGAAATTTGAGTATCGTACGATTATAATATTATTATGTAGTAATTTTCTCTATTGTATAATGTTGCAGAATTTCACAGAAATAAAATTTACTTACTATGTGAAGAAGGCTTCACTACTTTGATGGTGTCACCACCTCGACCACGTCTTCCTCCATCATTACCATTACCACCCACCATACCATAAAAAAAATGCTTGTTTTATGTTAAACATCTGTAATACAAAAATTATATTACAATAAAACAAAGCTACAAAAAAAAAAGACATTTTATTTGTTAGTGGTAAATCACAATAATTCCATAAAATGGAATATTCAAAAAATATATACAATATGTACATTAGATCAGTTTGCATTAGGGCTGAGGACTTAAGCTACCATAAATTCATTTGTAGTTCTCACAAATAAACTGCATTTTAAGGGAAAATGAAGATATTACAAAGCAAGCTCTTCACCTTGTTTACTGTCCAGAATTATGAAAGTATATAAAAATGGGACTATAGCCCCATTTGTAACTAACAAAAAACTTATTATTTCAAGAGAAATTGAGTGGCTAGTGTTAAAAAGATCACCATGCATTTAAAACTATTTTTATATTTATTATTTATCTGAATATTGATTCAGATTTTTATTTTACAGTTATAATGTACGAAAATTTCCCTTATACTTTTTTGTTTTATTAATGTTTATTTGTTAGAGTTATGGATATGAAGAAAAATAACAAAGACAAAATAGATAGATAAGAAAAGAAATGAGTAAGTGTGAGAAGATAGACAGCTAATGAAGGTGATTGAATGAAGAAAAATAAATTTAATCAGACACATCGTCCGACACAATTACTTAATAATCATCTTCGAAGGAAAAATAACTGGGAAGATACCAAGAGGACGCCCAAGGAAACAATATTTTGAAAATATCCTGCAATTAATAAACTGTGTACCTTTTGTTTTACTGAAGAATTTGGCGTCAAATAGAGAGGAGTAGCTTCAACGATAAGTCATTGCCTTTAATAGATGATGAATGTGACAATGCAATTAAATATCTACATATTAAACTGTTTCACGTATGGATATCTATAAATAATAATTATATACAAGTATCGAGTAATATATTATTTATTTCCATAAAATATCCTGCAAAATATTGTCAATGTTTTTAAATAATATTTTAGAAATATAGTTTGAGTATGTCGTGAAAATATTTTGACAATATTTCAAAATATACTGGTTATATTCTAGAAATATTTCATTGCTATGTGGATGAATATGATTTTAAATTACTTTATTACACTAGTTAAAATTACATGAAGTGACGCAGTGGATCATTCCGTCGCCACATTACCACTGGTGTTCAGCTGCGCTGTTTGCTGTTGGTTACCGGATGGGTAACCATACGGAAACTTTAAGCGACACACACCTTGCCCCCCTACTGGATTCCTCAGCCATTATGAGGTTGCATCAGATCGATAAGCAGTGTAAAAACTTGTCAAAACCAATTATCATGCAGAGTCTACCCCATGTAGTTAAGATGAGAAGTGATGATAATAGTTAAAATTTAAAATAATTGACATAGCTAAGAATAAATATGATAATGTTGAATATTGAAAGGATCCAATACAACAAGTAGCTGACAGTGCTTTATCAGTAATGTCAGTCGAATCATCTAATTGAAGAGCATAGATTTTTGATTTTTATTTTTGTTAAAAGTTGTTGATGAATATCATCGCTCATCATAGTTATACGATTTGAAACGGTATCATTAGAAAGAGGTATTGTTTTGATTTTTCTAGCAGCATTATCTCCCAAAAGTGTAAGCCTGGCATCCACCATACAAGGCATAATTAAGTCTTTTCCTATGATGAAATTTTTTTTTGATTTTGCAATGCGAAGTGATATAAAAAATGAAGCTTTGAGAGCTAACTCATTTTCAGTTCCTGTATTTCGAATTAGTGTTTTCTGAGCATTGACACGGCCCGCGTCGCTTCGTTATACATGATGCCCCGCGACTCGTGCCACCTTTATCAGCCGTCGCCCTACTATGAGTATTTGATTGACCAACACTGTGTGTTATTATACGCTATGATGCAAAGTTCGGCAAATGCCGTACATCCGACGACGATCCGCCGCAAATGGTGCGGGAGTCTTCCTCCCGTTGTGAAAGCGACAACGTCAACCAACCGATCCGCACCCGCGCACCGTCGCCTACAACGCTGCTAACCATTTGCCGTCCAAGGATTAGGCCGGACATCGCGTCGTCGACGCCAGCGAAAGTGCCGCGATATTATGCGAAGATTATTATTACTGTGTTTATCTTTTCGGTTTGTTTTATTTTTATTAAAATAATGTGTTGTCGCTCATTTAATAAACGGCCCACGGGTCTCTACCCTCAAAACCAGTGTCGACCACATTTTTGTGACGTATGTCGTGTCAGCATTCAATTCGCTATCTTTTCTTTTAAAAAAATCTTTTAACTTATTCTTATATTGCTCGTGTTTTGTTTTCAAATGCCTAGTAAGTTTTACTGGAGCCATAGCACTATTACTTAAAACTNAGTCGTGTCAGCATTCAATTCGCTATCTTTTCTTTTAAAAAAATCTATTAACTTATTCTTATATTGCTCGTGTTTTGTTTTCAAATGCCTAGTAAGTTTTACTGGAGCCATAGCACTATTACTTAAAACTTCCGCGCAGATAACGCATTGAGGGTACCATCTGTATGTAAATCCGAACGCTATGTACGAGGGATCATATTTACGAATTTTTGTTTTTTTCCTTGTTTGTTTACTCATATTGGTGGTAGTATTAGTTAAATAAGTTATAACACTACACGCAACAACGAACAACAGACGACTACGTACTGATGTACTCTGTAGTACGGTATCGGTAATGTCCTCGTGATGTCGTTAAAGCCCATTTAAAAATAAATAAAACGCACGACACGGCCGTATTGCAACCAAATACTAATTTTATCTGTTTATTTTATCTAATTCGTTATCGACGGTCGTTTTTCGACCTTTTTTTATGTTGTATTAGTTCAAAATAATATTGACTATATACTATTACTAAACGTACATTTCATACCAAAATTGACTAAATGTAAAATTAAAATACTTTAATATTTTATAATACCAAATAAATTTTGAAAAAAACACTTAAGTTTCGCGGAACCAGTTCAAGAAACACTGGTATAAACTTTATACTATAAAGTACTTAAAAATATTTTATCCTCTTGAATGGCTATCTTAATAATTTTAGAAATTAAAATAACTTCAGTCTTTATATTAAAGTTGTTATTTTAAAAGTTATCACTTTCAAAATAGACTATTCAAACAATTTAAAGGATACGTATGCGTACCGAATCGTATGGATGCGAACAGAGCAAGATCTATTATTTTGTTTAACAATAAATCAAAGTTTGAGAATGGTTAATTAAGATAATTTTTGTTTTAAGAATATAACATATTAATTTATTCTTATAATTATATTCGTATATTTTGAGATGAACTTTATTAGACTACTCAGTAGTATCTTGAATATTTAAAATATAAAATAATGCTATATTCCAAGATAGAAGTGTGATAACCGTAAACTATTTTGTTAAGTATAAATTAATTTAATATCCATCGCATCCCTGCAGTGGTTCAAATTACCCTGCAGAAATTTCATGGTGCTCGACGTCATTGATGTGTCACCGAGGACTCGCCATCATTCATTTCCCGACCTTTCCTCGCCTCTGTTGGCTTGCCGGCTGTTCGGTCTTGTCATGCTGCTTCCTCCAGCCGCAACTGTTCTCCAAAAGCCTTCTGCTGATTGTCAGAGCCCTTACAGTCTCTAACTATGTGGTCCTCTTGACCGCAGCCTCGGTTGCACTTCGCACGGTGAGAGCCAGTGCAGTCTTTGGTATCATGGCCAAATGCCAAGCACCGGAAACACCTTTTACTGTCAACCCATTGTCTCACTCTGCAGGACACATAGCCGACCTTTCTCCATTAACTTCCTCGCCGCTTCTAAGGTCAAAGTAACTATTGCCATTTTTTGTCCTCTGGGCGTGTTTCCTAGTGTAACATTAACATCCAATCCAGCCGCCCGAAAATTCGTTATGGTGTCCAGCACCTCCAGCATTTCCTTCTGGGTAGTTACTTCGTCCAATCCAAATATACCTATTCTTGTTTTTCATAGTGGCCACAATGAGTTCATCTCCAACCACCCGCTTGATCGCCGAGTTCACCCTGTCTACTACCCCAGAACCTCTGCTCATTTCGACCAACAAATGGCCCGCTTCCGTCCTTCGCATTGCAGTAATGTCCTTTGACAGTTCTCTCAGGGAGGGAGGGTTCAGCTCTGATCTTTTTAAGCGTGTCAATATACGTCAGTGATCCGGCCTTGAAACCTTTTAACCATATGAAGCTTAATTTGACAATATAATATATTGTCAAATTAGGTTTCATATGGATAATGTGTTTAAAGTATTTTATACTTTAAACACATTAGAAATTAATTATTTATATGGAGAAAATTGGTTAAGCAAATTATTATTTGATAAGGGGGGAATCATTTTTAAGTTATGATGGTAATATCTTTAAATAGACAAAAGTTGTGAACATTGTACGTACGTTTAAAAAAATTGATAAAGTGAGACCTAAGAAAAATAAATGAGAGACGCAAAAAAAAATATATCGTTAAATATTTTAATATGAATAAAAAATTTCTTTTCACAATGGGAGAATTCAGTGTTAGTGTCCTTGATATACTTATGCTATTCGATAGGAAATTTTATAAGCTTTTATTTGGTGTATAATTATTGCCTGGACTCGTCTCGGAACTTTGTCAAAAATATAAAAAAACCGAGCGCCGCTCGAAAGTAAAAGCAATCACACAGCTATATAATAGTGTGACTACTATTAAAATTGCCCAGCAATTTCTCTCATACGGTTACTTGGACACTCGAGTACCATTTGTTACTTATGCTATTCGATAGGAAATTTTATAAACTTTTATTTTGAACATAACTTTTAAGTGAACACCCCTCGGAACTTTGTCAAAAGTACAATATAATATAACATTTTTTTAAACTAAGTAGCGCCCTCTTGCGGTGTATATTCTAATTATATCTGATTAGAACTGCTAACTTCACACACATTTAAACTTAAGTTGTATAAAACATGCTGTTGTATAAAATAATTTTATTTAAATTAATATATCTATTTAAAATAATAATAAATCATAAAAAATATATAACAACAAAAAATAATTAATTTATGTTATTGATTTTCAAACCGATCAATACTATAAATAAGACATTACAGACTCAATAGTCGTAGTACAAAAAGCACACTGATATGAATTGTTTAAAATACGTACAATATCTGATAATGGCGGTAATTTTTCGTTTGTTGTATGACGTTGCGGCGACTGTCATGCAGTGACCAGTCGCTGCTAGGTCAGGGTACCTTAAGGGGGATTACTATTCACTCTTTATTTAAACCCTTTATGTCACCCCTGTATAAAAGTGCTTTTATCTAAAGTTACTCCTTTCAAAATATAGGTGATTTAATATTTTCATAAAAAATTTATTTTGGAATGCACACGGAATGAATTTCAATTTTTCAATAATTGAAAATTTGAATGAATTATTTTTTTTTAGGAATTATGAATGGTAATACATTTTTAACTCGAATATGGGAATAAAAATATGTTTCCTTTCGATTTTTTATTTAAATCATCATTTTACAAAGCGCGGCTTGAATTTTACGATTTTAATTCAATTATTTTTTTTAAATATTTAAAGTAAAGACATTTAATTCTTTTAAGTTTGATTACTTATTTATTTTTTTGTTAAATTACGTCATTTCGTATAAATAGAATTAAATAAATGAACCATACACATTGAACACTTGATTAGTTCAAAATATTTACTAAGTTGCTACGTTTTTGACATCAATTAAACTAAACATATTATTTATATTACAACTCGTGATTTATTAGTTGTTGTTTTTATTAAGAACATCAACGAAAAATATAACGACTTGTAAAAAGTGTTTTAATTATAATTAATAATTATTAGTGTGTAAAATATATTAAATAGATCTGTAAAACGTAGTTATAGATTTAAAAATATCGACTTATTTTTATTAAATATAAATGCGAAATTTTTTCAAGATAAAGGCATAAATATTTTTTTGTCATAAAATATGGTTATAAATTAAATAAATTCACAATAACAGATTAACCAACAATTTTTTGTTGTTTCCAAAATTCTTCTCTGCTATTCAAAAAATTAATGCCATCCTCTATTTCATTTAGTATTTGGTTTTTGTTTTCCTGGTTAGCGCTTACCAAGTCTAAATCACAAATTAATACAATATTAATATAAAAACATATTTTGCAATGATAGATTATAGATTAGACGAGATTTTAGCTATTTCAAAATTTGTATCCTTCTATGAGTATTAAACTTATTTTATAAAAACAGTCTTAAATTTTTAACGACGATTCAACTCACTAGGATCGGTTGTTAAATGTTCTAAGTAATTTTTGTCTATACATAATTCTCTAAGTAAGAGTTTCGATTGAATTTTGGGTGAAATTTTTGTTCTTCTTATTGTGGGTTCTTGTTTGGTTTCGTTATATTTTACTATAAAACCTGGTTTACTTTTGGTTATTTCTCTTATTTTACCTGGAAAAAATTACTCTTCTTAATAAACCACTAATTATATACATTGTTATATTACTTATAGCATTTTCGATAGCTTCTCTGGCTTTCTGTACGCCTAGTCGAAACTGTTCTAGTTCTGGTCTTACGTGTAATCCACGATGATAGAATACAAGAGCATGTTCAAAATCACCTAGATGATAAAGAGCTTCGGCTTTCTGGTAAATAGCTATAGAAATAAAGTTGACATTAATTTTTGAATAAAATGCATATACACATGGTAAATGATTAAGATACAGAATAAGACACTCATTTGCTTAGTAATTATTTAATATTTTCTATAAAATAAAAGTAGTATCGAAAAACTATAATAATATGTACTTAAATATTTCTTTTTCATTCCTTCAGACTTTAAAAAACTTAACTTTAATTTTCTTTAATGGGATGTCTATTAGCTTCGATGCAAAGCTGAGAAGGTATTAATTTTACTATGAGGTGTTTTTTTTTTTTATGTCTGTTGCCACTTTTTCTCAGCTCTCACTGGACCGATTTCTTTCAACAATACGTCAAAAGATCACAAATCGTATCTAGTTGGAGACATTACCCTTAAAAATTGAAAAAAATTCCCTCGTTCCCCGCAAATGGGGGAAATATCCAAAAAAATTACAAATTTAANAAAAATCGGTAAATTTCGTCATTTTTTTCACTTTTTTTTCTTAAAACTTCCATAACTTTTTCAAAAATCAACAAATCAACATAATTTTTTTTTATACTAAAACATTAGATGTTTCCCTTTCATTTAATATAATTTTTTTGAAAATCTAACACTTATCCTGCTCATTGGGGGGCATTTAAAATAGCAACTTTTTTACAAAAACTAACTTTTTCAACGTAGTTTTTGAAAATGTTCCGGAAATACTGCGTCCTTTAAACATATATCAAATTAAAGCTTATTTTATGTACTACAAAATGAAAAAAAAAATTTGTCCCGACACTTTATCTTCTACATTTAAACAGCTGCCGTAGTTAAAAAAACGCTAATTTTGTGTTAAAATTTTCGATTTTAAATTTTCAACTTATAAGTGCTATAACTTTTCGAAAAATGTAATTATCAGCACACATTTTTTTTTCTAAATACATTGTAAGTACATCTTTCATTTGACATACTTTTTTTTAACATTTGACAATTTTCCCATATATAGGGGGCGTTCAAAACTTGAAACATTCTATAAAAAATAGAACTTTTTCAACTTAACTTTTAAAAGTGTGTCGGAAATACTGCGTCCTTTAAACATATATCAAATTAAAGCTTATTTTATGTACTATAAAATGAAAAAAAAAATTTGTCCCGATGACCTATCTTCTATGCGCAAATGGCTACCGTATTCAAAAATATGCTATTTTTCTATTAAAATTCTAGGTTTTGTATTTTATTTTATTTTAAAATATCTTATTAGGAGTATATATTGACTTTCATGAATATTATATAGTTTAATTGACATAGAATAAAGGTCATAAGACATAAGAAATTAAACTTATTAAATTTTTTTTACTTTTTTATTTTCATACTAAATTTAATAATTATAATTAGTATTTATTCATATATTATATTTTAAAATCAAAGAATTACTAATTAGGATATAATCAAAGAAATAAGAGTTGATGTTGCTTTTGCAATAATCTACCAATTTCTCTAAATGAAACACTATCTACAGATTTGCATCGAAGCGTTTCTTATGATAGTGATTTTAATCACCGTCAAATATCATCTATACTTGTCATATCTATGCCTTGTCTACACTGTGCCTCGACCCCACTGTGCTACCGTTTTTTTAATTTAATAAAGTGGTAAAAAGAAATTACAAACAATTTTTTCTTATAAATTAAAATAACTAATTTTCAAATAATTTTTTCCTTTACCGTCAATTATAAAGTTTCTATAGTTTCCAAGAAAATAAGTGTCTTATCCTTAATCGATCACTCTATATATATTTATGTGTAATGCAAAATACATAATGTAATTTTGCATAGGTAACTCTGAAATTTTACCTTTCAAATAAGTACTATCTTCCTTTAGAGCTACTTCTGCATCTTTTAATGCTAAATGTGGTTGGCCAAGTAGTAAGTAACATTTACTCCTAGATACTAAAGCTGCTTTGTCATTGGGACTCAACTCTAAAGCCTACAATAGAGAAACAGTTATTTGATTAACTATAATTATAAAATCCATTTTTCATTATTAAATTATAAAACATTTGTGTGAAACATAGTAATACTAGTAATATTAGTAATACTGTAGGTATTAATATTTCATTAGAAAACAAAATTTAATGAATGAGAAATTTCATGTAATTTATACACCACAAAAAACAGTTTGGCTTATGGGATCCAAACCTTGTCGATAAAGTCCAAAGATACTTTGACATCATTCATACAATGACGAGCTAGAGCTAAAAGAGTAGGTGACTCAGCCGTGGACGGTATGTGTAACGTGTGGTTCCGGTCTTGACGGCGTTTCATTCGAAGAGAAGCTTTTATATCACGAGTCCCAAGGTTAACGGCAGCTGCTCTATCTTTGTCTGTATATACTTCCTCTAGTAAACGAGAACGAGAGTCTCGCTTATGCCGCTTGCCGGTCCATAAACCTCCTAAAGAAGATTTATCGATAACAGCTCCTGTAGTTGATTTTCGTGTTTTGAATTCTTCTGCTAGTTCATTAAATGTAGTGGTTGCCGACCCCGGTTGACACCCATGTCTTTTTGAGTAGCCTCGATTAGTCCCTTTGTCACTGCTTCCAGCTTTTATACGACCACTATGTTCCCCATTTAGTCCATTTGTACCGTTTATCCCAGAATTCCTGTGGCTTCGACCAAGCCCCTGTACCTCTTCAAAGTCACCTCTTCCGTAGTCATCATCGTCATCATCGACTTTAGCAACCCGAACATAGCTCTGGATCATCTCCGAGTCTCTGGTCATTTGTAAAATATCTTTGATATGTTCACTGGTTGGTAGTATATCGCCCGATGTATCGCCCAAAGCTGCCATCTTACAGATTGTCTATTTTAGAGTTAAGAAATATTTTGGAGAAGAGATGAAACGAAAGAAAATACTTTGTACTTCAGTAAAGGTTATTATACAAGTGCATCCAAATAACATCTATCTAGCTTTTAGTTTTTAGCCAAGGAAATAAGTTTTTTGATCAAAATTATGAGCATTACATACGTAAAAAAAAATTGATTAGACACTCTATAAAAGTTAGAAAGCATTTATCTACATTATTAAAATATAGTATTTTATAACATGCTGTAAAAATTATACTTTAAATTATTTGAGGCTTAATATAAATTTTATGAAAAATTTTTTTTTGTACTGACCTTTTTTGAGCTAATTGTTTTGTATTTATAACATTATTAGTCTAATATAATTTAAGAATTCTTCATTAATAAGTGATTTAAAAATTGCTTTCAAGTACAGATAAAGTGCGACTTAAATTATTTTTATACTATATCACTCGTGCATTTTTATGTTGAGTTGATAAAAGCATATACTTATTTGGCAACTCAAGAAGCATCATGAATACTGTGCACTAAAGTTAATGTGACTTAATTTTTTGTTTAAAGAATACAGATTATATTAGTAACCGTTTTATTATTAATTTAATTAGAATAATAGATATAGTCCAACCAAAGTGATTCGAGTAACACTTAAGGTGAGTGAATTCGATACAACACCTTTGTATAACCATGGTAACCAAACTGATAACCTTACAAACCCATAGCTTCCGAGGGAACTATGTCATCGAAGGACAAAACAATTACCCTAACTGTTTATTTAGTTACTTTAACTGAAATTGAAAGTGTTCAGTCATGAAGTGACTAGTGCAATCAAATATTATGAAATAGAAAAGTATTTTTAAAAAGAATTGCATGCATGTTGTCTGAAGAAAAAACTCAAAATTTACAATAAAAAAAAACAATCAGTGAAATACATGCTAACTTAATAAGAATTTAATATTGATAAAATATATTTGCAGAAGAACGGTGTGGCCGAGTAGATAACGCGGCAGTGCTTGACGCGCACTGCCTCTAGATCGAAACTCGGTCACGGGTTGCTTCATTTGCCGAACTAGAGATCAGTTCGGTAATTGGAGTCGCCATTCTTCTTTCCGGTAAAGGGCTAACCACCCATCTCGGAGTAACAATGGTTTAGAAACCTCCTCATATGGGGGTGGCTTATAAAGCCTTAATGGGCTTATAAAGCGTTAAAATATATATATATATATATATATTTGCAAAATCTATATTTTATTGAATTATCATTCAAGTTAGACAGAAAGTATGTAGTAGCAATATTGTTATATAATCTGAGGTAATAAAAGGGTTTATAGAAACGAAAGAAGCAAGAAGAATAGACTGTATATGGTATTTAATAAAGATTAAAGAAGTAATGCACGTTTTATTATAAATATACAAGGAATTTATAAAATGAAGAACACAAATAATGTGGACGGAGCCAATTATTACTTAATAGTATTAAGTTAATACAATAATGATGCAAATAATACAATTAATTATATAAAATCGAACAAACGTCAAAAGAATACTCATCATATTATGGATGGCTTTAAGTTGGGGCCCATTGAGTCGATGGATGAATTGATGGATAGGACGTTGGATGAACGGTCATGTAAAACTTGATGTGAAGTGTTGATAACGGTGATGACGATGAATGGCAAGACGGCGTGGACTAAAATGAAATGGAGAAAAGTGTGTAAGAATAGTAGGACAACAGAGTATATACACGAACAAACACGTCCGTAATATGATGATGGAACAATACCGTGTAAATGAAAAGACAAAAATAGAGAAATACGTATACTACTGCATTATGTATATTTATAATATAAATATTATCTTTAGCTGACAGGATGCAGTCAAAATGACCGAGCGACTCGCTAGTCACTAAACAGTAAATAGTAAATTAAATGAAATCGCATCCACGTCTGTACCCACTACTTCTCATCAAAATGTCACACGACCATTATAATTCCAAATTTGAATGAACAGTGTTGAAAAAAAAATACAAAAGAAAAGCTCATAAATAACAATATAAAATTTCAACAACACGTGTTAAATGAATAAACACCAATAATATTAATTATAATAGTAGGTATTAAAAAACAATGATAAATTAAAAAATGTATACCTTAAAGGAAATAAGGACTTATGATATGGAATATGCTTATCATTGGCCCACAGTTAATTCGACTTGTTTGATTGCTGTCCATTTGTAAACTCCCCCTTTTTATATTTTTACAGTAACAACTCGTACTACATTGTCCGGACCAGGATGTACCTATTCAATCCTGTCCATGTGCACAGTTCGTTGTGGACAATTGGGAGAATTAAAGCACATAGATCGTGAGGATTGTTTGACAAAGAAGTTAACGGACTAGAATTTAATATGCCCTCTAACTAGCATATTTTATCTTCGTATGCAAGTATTTGATTTCTTATGGCATGCTTTGAAGAAATATAGCCAAACAATATATTATTAATTAAAAAAATATTATAATAATATATTTTTCTAAATGCTATAGCCAGTTTTTATTAATAATAATTTTGTACAATAATCACTTAAAAAAATTTTAAATGATTTATTGAAAAAATCAGAAATATGTTTGCATAAAGTTAAAGGCCATGCATTCATATAATATGATATTTAATAATTAAAAAATACATAATTAATTAAAATTTATGATACGTACATTTCCATTAAAAAAATTACAAATTTAGTTTAAAATAAAGTAATTTGATTTGAGCTGTTAGTGTTATTTATATCTAGTATCAATAACTCAACTATAACCTTAAAACTATTAAATTATTTAAATAGGGTTTTATAGTGCAATTTATATAACTATAAATTTATGATATTGTATTTTATTAAAAGTTTAATTTTATGAACTAAAAAGTATTTTTTTAAATTTAAAAAAATCGATTTTTATGGATTAAAATATAATTTTGTAAACTTATAAAATTGTAAAATTGTAAAATGAAAATATATTTATTTATTAACAATCGTAAAAATAAATAATAAGTTGAAATAACTAGAATTATATGAATGCTAATATAAATGTCGGTATGAAAAATTTAAAGTGTTAATAAAATTTTCATTACTTACCCAAGTATATTGTTGAATAGCTTTTCTGTAATTTTTGAATTTACAATAAACAAATGCTTCATCTTGTAACAAGACTTTTAAATTATCGTCAGTGTTTGTTGGGATTGATTTTTTCTTTTTAGAATTTTTTTTTATTTTCCCACTCATTCTATAGATAAAAAAATTGAGTGGATTTATTTTATTAGATTCTTGTGGATCAATTTTGACCATATTATCAGTTTTAATCATTAAGTATAGTATCTTTATTTATGGATTTTATTGTATTGCTATATACTAATAATTTGGTTAAAGTGAAGTAGAAAGTAATACAGTGATTTTTCATATTTAAATATTGAAAAAATGACTTATTTATTATTAATTAATAATACTAGGCTTCGTCTAGCTAGACCTTGGGCCGTAAAAGCTTCACGCGCCTTTGGCGCGTAAGCCTCTTTGGATATTCTTCAAACATGCTAAAGAAATTTTTTTTTTCTTAAGATTAAAGTGATGATAAAAAATGAAATCCGTTAAAAAATGGTAGTACAGTGGTGTCGCGGAACGATATAGACGTGGGATAGTTGGGTACAAGTACAGATGATATCTGACAGTGATTAAAATCACTATCATAAAAAACGCTTCAATACAAATCTGTAGATAGTGTTTACAAAAGCAACAATAACTCCTATTTCCTTAATTATATCGTGATTAGTATTTTTTAGTTTTAAAAGTTTAAATACTTATTATAGAAATTAAATATAATAAGAAATTAATATTTAATAATTTAATATTGTAATTTTTATGGAAATATAATAAAAAATGTAAAGTAGTATATTTCGTCACTTCAATAACAAACATGTATATAAATGAAAGAGTTCGATGCAACACTTTATACAATTTTTTTTTATATTTAATAAATATATAAATATTAATATTTTGTATTAATAAATACAAAGGTCTACAAGGAACTTTCATCAAAAATATCACATTTAACTTGACTAACCATACAACACTCTTAGTTGACATACGATAATATTTCTAACTTTTGTAATAAAGATTAGAGATAATCATTTCTGTATAAAGCCCGTTAAATGTTATTATTATCCATGGAAAAGAAATCGCGTAGTGTTACCAGTAAATAATGTAATTAGTGTTTACTTCTGTACTTTACATATTATGGACTAACATTTGATACCATAGGAAAATTGTAAAAAAAATCAAAATTTTACAAACTTCAAAATGCTGTATAAACGTAACTACTGAATTAAAGTAAGTGTTTTTGGTATCAAAATTTTTCTTTAAACTTATCTATAAGATGGCTATCTTAAAATCTTAAAACAAATTTTAATAAAAAAATTAATTTTTAAAATATTTTTTATAATTGCGAAAAATAACATAAAACATATTTTAAATATAGTTCTATATTGTAAAAATTTATTAAAAAAAAATATATATAAAATGTTATGTAGATCATAAGTTATATGAGTTCTCAGTTAGATCCGTTCTACCTTATATATAAGTGTCAGTATTTTCGGAACATTTTCAAAAATTGAGTTGAAAAGTTCTATTTTTTATATGAATTTTCAAGTTTAGAACCCTCTTATATAAAGGGATATGGTCCGATTTAAAAAAAAGTATGCCGAATGAAAGAGGTATATAAATAGTATTATAAAATTATATTGATTCATACAGAAGGTATCTGTATACTTTATAAACCAAACAAAAAATAAAAATAACTAATAGAATATCAAAACAAAAAGATATAATAATAAGAAAAAAATAAGTATTCAATTCATATATGATAACTATAATATGTATTAAACATGAATTAAATAGAAAAATTGACATAAGAATTCATTATTTATTCAGAGTCAATATATATGAAAAAATGAGACAATACTCTTATTTAAAACATGCGCGTGAACATAAAAATGAAAAATACTAGTAAAACGGTAAAAAATGAATGGATTGAATTAATTATTTTATGTCTTTGCGTGGGTCTGATAAATATTTTCAATTTTAAGATGTTAAACGTTGACGTCAGCTAGCGTTTTTTCGAATATGTTCAAAATTTTAAAACGAATGCAGGCGGTCCTAAAAATTTTTCGCCAATAATTTTCTTGGAGTCTCGTTACTACTCTTAAATACCTTTTTTGAAAAAAAAATTTTCAAAATCGGAGCACGCTAAGTAGTCTTCCATATTTTTTCATATTCTATTATGAGTATTGGGCAGTTGACAAGAGAATAGAGCAGAAAATGAGTGTATTAAAGATGAGAATACTTAGATGGATGGGTTGAGTGACTAAAGAAGATAGGATAAGGAACGATCATATAAGAGAAAATATGGATGTAGCGTCAATGGTGGATAAAATGAGAGAAAATGGACTTAGGTGGTTTGAGGAGAGAGTAGTAATCCGGAAGCTGTCAGTAGACCAAAAAATAGATGGAGGGAATAGTTTTGATTTCTTTAAATTTACTGTAAAACACCATTTACTCTTTATGTTTGAAATACATGTTTTAGATGTGCTAAATTTTCTTGATATTATCAGATCTGACTAATATCATCCGACGTATAAGCATATCTATTATGTTTTTGTGGCAAAATTTGGTGTAATAGTTTGACTAACGCAGCTAAACTGTTTTTCAATTAAAATGGTACTACTTTGTACTGGTAAACAATGTTTTGAAAAGCAAAAGCTATGTATTGTCTACTATTCTTTTGTAACGGAATTTTCCAAAACGATGATGCTGTTAAATCCAAAGTGGAAATGCATCTGATCACCTTACTGTCGTATAAGATATGTTCTATTTTTGCTACAGCTCGTTCTAAGTTTTCTATTTTTTTTCTTCTAAAATTGTATTTTTTTCAATTGTTTCGATTCTTTCATTAGTTATCCTACTATCAAATGGTTCAACTTTGCTAAATCTATCGCTTATTTTTGCCATGTGACTACTCATTGCGTCTAATTTTTCATTTTGTATATTAATTGTTTTATTAACTTCATTTTTAAATTTTTAAATTCATAAATTCTTTTATTTGTGTCTTCTACTTGTTGCTTTGTTGTCATCTGTTGTTTCATAAAATTATATAGATGTTTTAGTGTTAACTCTTCTTATTCTATGTTTTTAGAGT